GGCACCCTCAACAGGCACCTCAAAACCAAAGGTGAGCAGGGCACCCTCAACAGGCACCTCAAAACCAAAGGTGAGCACGGCACCCTCAACAGGCACCTCAAAACCAAAGGTGAGCAGGGCACCCTCAACAGGCACCTCAACAGGCACCTCAAAACCAAAGGAGCTCTCTGTGCTTGTCCATTTGCCTTCCAGTGGAGTTCTTGCTGCTTCCCATGTTCTGCTGAGCTGAGACCATTGAGCTTCCCAGCATTTGGGGTGCTGGGAGGCAGTGGAAAGTTCTGGGATAGGAGCAGCCATGTGCTGTTCAGAAAGCTGAACATGTTTTTCAGGCTGTCACCACAGTGCTGGTTTTAATATGGTTGCTTTGATTCTTGTCATTTCCAGGGCAGGCTGGCCCTGGGCTGGCTGGGAATGGTGGTGAGGGTGGATCTCAGCAATGACAGAACCAGAGCTGCATCAAGGGAAATATAGGTTGGATACCAGGGAAAAGTTTTCCACAGAAAGGGTGATAAAGTTCTGGAATGACCTGCCCGAGGAGGTGATGGAGTCACCATCCCTGGATGTGTTTAACAAAGCCTGGATGTGGCACTGGGTGCCAGGGTTTAATTGAGATGTTAGGGCTGGGTTGGACTTGATGATCTTTAAGGTTTTTTCCAACCCAGTGATTCTGTGAATTCTGTGACCCACATGGAAGTGGGCATGTTCTGGCAAGGAAATGTCTGGGTAAAGTTCTCAGCAACAATCTGGTTTGGTGGGATTAGTTGCACTGGACTTGCTGCTCCTTTAGCTCCTAAGCAAGGATTTCCAGACTTCTTCAGCTAGTGCTGATGGTGTTATTCCAAAGGAATAATACAAGTTTACTGGAGGAGAAAATGGACTTTTGTAGGAGATACTGAGATGTATCAGCAGAAAAGATAAATGATTTAAAATCTACCCAAATTCTTCCTGTATGTTCTTCACACATGGCTTGGAAACCCCGAGTGGTTTTACCATCTGAATTTACCCGTGTGGTGTTTGGAATTGCACTGAAGAGCTCCTCTGTTCCTGATGTCATGTGGACTCTTCTGGGCTGTTCCTTGGCTTGTCCTGGTGGGCCAAGAGCTCCTCAGGTGGCACTGGTCACTCGTCCATGGCATCCCCTTGCTGGTGCTGCTGGGGATGGTCACAAAAAATGATGTTTCTCTGGAATTCCATACAGGTGGCTGCCTCCTTGCTATGAAAGAGGTGGAAGAAGTGATAGTGTCAGAGGAGAGCCAGTCTGCTGACAACTTGGCAGCCACGGTCCTTTCGGAAGATCCGCACACGGTTCTGGTGGAGTTTTCCTCGGTGGTGGCAGACACCCAGGAATACATCATCGAGGTGAGCAGGGGCAGCCAGCCTGCTCACTGGGAGCTTAGCACGGGATTTGGTCAGGAAAAACTCTGCAGTTGCTCATGTTCCTGCTCCAGGCTTTTGGGAGAACATGAAACAGGCTCTGCCCTGCCTGCATGGCCCCAGGAGTCAGCGGGATGAGCCCTGTTTGGAAGGAAAGCACTTGGAGCTTCCCCACCCTCCCAGAGTGCTGTGTGTGCCAGGAAAAGGAGAAGGGGAGACTAACAGTTGTTCAGCAGAAAGCTGAGCCTGAGAACTTCTCACCACACCAGATTTTAGGTCCTCACAAGCTTGCTTCAACTCTCCCTCCTATTTTCTCCCATTTCTATTTATCTTACTTTGTCCCAGATAATCTCTGTTGTTTCAAACAGAAGCTGCCAAAAGCAATGAATTCTGTATTTCACTTTCTCCCCTCCGTCACACAGAGCCAGTTCCCATCCCAGCAGGGTAACACAGCTCAGTTATTGAGTGCTGCTGTAGTTATTCTCCAGTAGGAGAAAAATCTGCTGTGTGGCCAAATCCTGCTGAGGGAGGACATTCTCTTTCAGTTACTTGTGAACATTGTGCATTCATTTTAAGTAGTTCCTGATAATGGGATTGGGAGGGAATGTCAAGGAGTTGTTTTTGGAGTAGCTACTGCATGTGGAGCAGAAAGACTCGTGTAAAAGACCTTAGTGAATTATATCTTGGTGATAAAATTCTTTTTATAAGAACCTAGAAAGGGAATAATCTTATTTTGTCTTCCAGACTTCTACTGAAGACATGGAGACCAGCGAAGCCACTGAAATAATAGAGGGAACAAGACACGAGGTAAAGCAGTCCCTTGGTGACAGGAGGGGTGACACAGTGCAGGGTCTGTGATGTTCCCCCCCAAAATATCCTAGGCTAGCTCAGAGGTAAGCAGGCTGTGAAGGGGAGGAACATCAGGAGATGGCAAAGATTTCCAAAAGAGGCTCTTACCCCAAAATACGTTGGTTCAGCTCTCTTTATTCTGTGGTGTCCAAGGGGAGAGCAGGGCAAAGAGCACAAACAGGAAATGTCAGGGGTCTGTACAGACTTTGGACAGGGTGGGCTTCCCTGGCTCTCCCGTTGGGGCAGGAAGGAGGGTCCAGGGTTATCTGATCAGAGCCACAGGGTCCCGGGGAAGGGGCACAGAGTGCCCAGGAGCCTGGGGTGAGCAGCTGGCACTGCCCCATGGCTGGCAGCTCCTCCACAGCGATGCCTGTCCTCAGCTCCCCCCTAAACACCAGCAGCAGCATCAGTGCCGCCCCTGTCCCCCCGCAGGTCGACAGCCACATCATGAAGGTGGTGCAGCAGATCGTCAACCAGGCCAACTCGGGCCACCAGATCATCGTGCAGAACGTCACCGTGGCCGAGGGCGCCGCGGCCGCCGACGCCGCCGACACCATCACCATCGCCACGCCCGAGAGCCTCACCGAGCAGGTGGCCATGACCCTGGCCTCGGCCATCGGCGACGGCGCCGTGCTGGCCGCCGACGCCGGCCTGGCCGCGCAGGAGGCCACCGTCACCATGGTGGCCTCCGAGGACATCGAGATCATGGAGCACGCGGGCGAGTTCGTCATCGCCGCCGCGCAGGAGGGCGACGTGGAGGTGCAGACGGTGATCGTGTGAGCCGGGGGCAGCCTGGGCGCTGCTCGGGGGGCAGGGGTGTGTTCTGGAGGGAAGGGGTCCACGGGACAGGGCAGGGCCGAAAGGGGACAGGGCAGGGCCAAAAGGGGACAGGGCAGGGCCGAAAGGGGACAGGGCAGGGCCGAAAGGGGACAGGGCAGGGCCAAAAGGGGACAGGGCAGGGCCGAAAGGGGACAGTGCTGGCCTGAAAGGGGACAGGGCAGGGCCAAAAGGGGACAGGGCAGGGCCGAAAGGGGACAGTGCTGGCCTGAAATGGGATAATGGAGGCCTAAAATGGGATAATGCAGGCCCTAAATGGGACAGTGCTGGCCTGAAAGGGGATAATGGAGGCCTAAAACGGGATAGTGCTGGCCTAAAGTGGGACAGTGCTGGCCTGAAATGGGACAGTGCAGGCCTAAAATGGGATAGTGCTGGCCTGAAATGGGACAGTGCAGGCCTAAAATGTGATAATGCAGGCCTAAAACGGGATAGTGCGGGCCTAAAAAGGGGATAGTGCTGGCCTAAAATGGGATAATGCAGGCCTGAAATGGGATAATGCAGGACTAAAACGGGATAGGAGAGGTCTAAAACGGAATAGTGCAGGCCTGAAGTGGGATAGGACAAGTCTAAAACAGGATAGAACAGGTCTAAAACGGGATAGGACAGGGTAGGCCCGAGGTGTTCTCAGTCTAAAACCAATGCCAGGAGTTAAACCCTTGGCCTGGTCGCACTGAGGAGACCCAGGTCACCCGTGGCACTCAGTATTCTGTACAGCAGCCTCCAATTAAGGAAGATCCTTTGGGAATCAGCCCCCTCTGCCCACCACTGGGACAGCCGTGGTCTGGTTTTGGAAAGGATTCAGAAAGTATAGCAAATATGTGGGGACTCACGAGGGATTATTTAAATATATGCATTTAAAACAAGTTGAGAAAACCAAACCTAAGGAGTTGTGGTGTGTGTTGAGCACCACTGAAACACTCATGCCTTTAACCTCACTCCTTCAGGCCTCCCAAGGCATGGTACTACAGTATTTCTCTTTTCTTTGGTATCCTGGACAAGTAGCCTTATGTACTGGTCTATGAATGCATCATTGTACCCTGCAATGCCAGCCAGGCTGCTCTGAGAGCCAGCCTGGGGGCTGGAAAGCCATATTGTATAGGAATTTGGTTTTTTTAAACCATATATGGATTTTTAATTGCATATTGTACAGATTTGGCATGTAAATAAAATACATTTGTAAAAATAAAATTATTTAAAGTTCTTACTATATTTTTTTTTCAATTTTTCTTCTATTGTACTCAAACAGAGAAACTTCTGGAAGGAGAGGAGAACAGGGACACTTTAATTTCCTCCCTGAAGTTAGTGCTTCAAAGCTGCAGTAGGACATGGTTTCTGCAGGTAAGATCCTGCCAGAAATCATTTTTTCAGCTAAATACACAGAACCTGTTGTAGTCCTCGTTAGACGTCATGGGTTAATTGTTTCCCAAAGAAAGATACAAAAATATGCTGCTTCCTCAAAATTCACAGGAGCTCTGTGTTAGCCCTTCCCAGAGAGAAAAATTCCCTTTGGGGAAGATGGACCAAGTAAATCCCTGTATTCAGGGGCCAGGACTGAGCTGGCCCTGAGTCTCACTGAGGGAGGGAGCTCAAATGACGCTCTGCTGAGGCACCAATACGTGAATTCTGCAGAAATCTTGTTCCAAAACCTCTCTGGGGTAGCCAAGCCCACTGCTGAACTAAAATCTTGGAAAACATTTAAAAATGCCACAATAATATCTTCATGTTTTCTTCTTCCTTTCCGAGACAGTAGGAGGGTTAAAGACTTCCTTTAAATTCCTCCAGATCCCTTTAGAATAAATGTTTTTGTAGACGAGGGGTCTGGCATGAGGCTGTGAGGGGAGACGGGGGGAGCCCCCAAATCTTCGGGATTTGCACCATTCGTTGGTGGTTTGGTTGGTGAGGGCCAAGTACAGACTGAAGGAGCAATATCCCCCCAGGACGAGCGTGAGCAGGATGACAAACCCCAGCATGAAGACAATCCTGGGGAAAGTCAAGAAAAGGTGCTGCAGAGAAAGAGAAAAGTAAGTTAAAACGTGGGAGGGTTGGATCCTGGGCAGTGCACAGCCCCAGCTGGAATGCACATCCACGAGGAGCTGGATCTGTGTTCCAGGGTGCTGTGTCCTGCTCTGACACCTCCACAGAGATTCCTCAGGCACTCTCAGCTCCTTCCTAAACTTTGCTACATCAGCTAGTCACTGGAATGGAAATTCCCTCTCTGTGAGCCACATGTGCTGAGTGACAGAGCCTGGAGATGGGAATCTGTAGGATGGGAGGTGCCGTGAGAAAAACCCCTTCCACTTCTAAAGTATTCAGCAGTGGCAGTTTTGTAAATCTAGTTATGTGTATACAACAGCTGAAAACCTGCAGTCTGCCACAAAACCTTGCACAAAACCCACAGTCTGCCCCAAAACCCTGCAGTCTGCCCCAAACCCTGCAGTCTGCCCCAAAATCCACAGTCTGTCCCAAAACCCTGCAGTCTGTCCCAAAACCCTGCACAAAACCCTGCAGTCTGCCCCAAAAGCCTGTAGTCTATCCCAAAACCCTGTGGTCTATCCCAAAACCCACAGTCTGCCCCAAAACCCTGCACAAAACCCTGCAGTCTGCCCCAAAACCCTGTGGTCTATCCCAAAACCCACAGTCTGCCCCAAAACCCTGCACAAAACCCTGCAGTCTGCCCCAAAACCCTGTGGTCTATCCCATAACCCTGCAGTTTATCCCATAACCCTGCAGACTGCCGCAAAACCCTGCACAAAACCCTGCAGTCTGCCCCAAAACCCTGCAGTCTGTCCCAAAACCCACAGTCTGCCCCAAAACCCCGCAGTCTGTCCCAAAACCCTGCACAAAACCCTGCAGTCTGCCCCAAAACCCTGCACAAAACCCTGCAGTCTGCCCCAAAGCCTGCAGTCTGTCCCCATGCTGGGGAGCAGGGCGAGGTTCCTGACTGCAAAGCCAGAACGTTTCCCAGCGCAGACTGACCTGCACGAGGACGGGAATGTCCACGGGCTGCTCCTGTCCCTGGGCATCCAGGTAGGTGCCGTGCAGGAGGTTGGAGAGCTGCAGCAGCTGCAGCAGCAGTGCAGCCGTGACAGCAGCCACAGCCCCGGCCGTGGCCGTCAGGGACAGCAGGTAGAGCAGGAACACGCCGGCGTTGCAGGCCCCGATGCAGTTGTTGACCCACACGCAGTGGTGGTCGAAGCGATGCACGCACATCCTGCACACACCTGCAGGAGGCAGGGGCAAAAGTGTCTTGGCATCTCGTTTTTAAATAAGCAGTTTGATCTTTACGTGTTTTTTTTTTTTAAGCTGAAAGTATGTGGGAGTTGCGGTCAGGGTTTAGCTGGCAGCTTTTGAAGCAAAGAAATTCAATTGTGTATCCTAAGAAAAACAACATATTCCATCTCCTCTTTTATTCGCCAAGACTGCAGCTCCCAGACTTTGATTTCTCTGACAGTACTGCCTGGCAAAGCACCTGAAAGGCAGAGATTGTAGCTCCCACCTTTATTTTAGATGATAAAAAGAGGTGGTGGACTTCTCATCCCTGGCAGTGTTCCAGGTCAGGGCTTGGAGTACCCTGGGCTGGTGGAAGGTGTCCCTGCCCCTGGCAGGGGGTGACATGAGATGGGCTTCAAAGATCCCTCCCAGCCCAAACCATTACAGGATTCTGTGACTATGAAAGAGAAAATCCCGATCTGAGGTCCTGGCAGGTGATAATTTCTGTTATCAGCTGTTCCTGACCCTGAATTGTCCCTCAGAACTGGTAATTTCTGGTGATTTCTGTGAGAAGGAACAGCACCCAACCAGCTCCATGGCTGGGCACAGGCAGCTGTGACCTGGGACTCCAGGAAAACAAACTCAGCCCTGTGAGCACTGAGCTGGTAACAGAACAGCTGCAGTGGGAACTGCAGCTCCTGGGGGAGAATTCCTTTGGGAAGCTCTTACTGCCATGCTTATCAAGGAATTTCAGATCCTTACTGCAGTGCTTGGACCTGGCTGGTTTCTCCACGCTGCACGTGGGGCACACGAGGCCTTTCTGAAACATCACCCCATCATAGGCATAAACCTTCACCAGGGATGCAGCGTTGGATTTCGTTACTGTACCTGCCAAAGAGGCAAGAAAATGAACTAAAAAATGGGATTTGTAGCTTTTTTTTTTGCTGTTTTCAAAGAGCACGGGCGGGGGGATCTTACCAGGGTTGGCCCGGGAGCAGAGCAGGAAGCAGCCCAGGTTCCCAGCCAGCAGCAGGTAGGGCAGCAGCAGGAGGAGGAGGTGGAACTGCAGCTCCCAGCAGTACACAAACACTTCCCAGGTGTATTCCCCAAACACTGCTGCCTGCAGGGCTGCGTGCAGGACCACAAACAAGCAGCTCCTGGGAAGGAAAGGGGACGGTCTGTTTAATACTCAGCATCCTGATTAACAGGTCAAGTACACTCAGAGGTGATCAAAGACTTTCCAAATGCAAGGAGACACCTCTTTTAGGTTTTCAGGCCAGCTTGGATTGCATATTAATAGTGTTTTCTCCATCCACTGGCTTCTCCTCTTCTTCCCACATACACTCCTTTAAATATGTCAGCTAAATTCCCTGCTTTATTCACTTTGGATTTTTTTTCCCTGTCAGTACAAAGTCCCATAATCTCTTGCTGCTGACAGAATATGCCACAGCAATAGGCCACACAACATCCTGCCAGAAGACATTTGCTACTCTGAAAGCAAAGAAAAAGCCCCCAAAATCATCTTTAAAACTCTGCAATAATATAACCAGCTGTCAGGAAATAAGGCAGGAGGCGGGCAGTGAGCACCAGTTCCAGGGCATGTGGAGAATCCCAGTGCCCCCAGCACCTCTGGCAGGGTCACCTGTGTGTCTCAGGCTGTGTTGGAGCAGAGGATCAGCAGAACAGGCACAGAACCACCCCAGCACTCACAACACAGCTGCAGATTCAGCCCTGGAGTCGCTGTTCCAGCGAGCTGCTGTCCCCAGAGAAAAGGTTTTGAAATCATTCCTGAGGCACCAGAGTTTACAGAGACACAGATTCCACCCGAACCCAGCAGGCTGCTGTGCAGCTGCCCC